GTGCAGTCGGTTTGATCAGGTTTTCTCAACTTGATCGGAGCGACAAGGAGACCTTGTGGCACTTATCTAGTCCTGCGTCCTCTTTTTCATACCATTCGTTATAATTTCCAGCTGTGACCCTATTCTAAGTGATAGTTGAGCCAAGTTATGGCAGATGTATCAGTCGAAACCCATTTATTATTAAGCCAAGTTTAGTTGTGTTGGTTACTGCACCGGGGTACATCTCATCAAAGTAGCTTAGTTTGTCAATTTGATGATATGTGAAGTATGCCAAGCCGGCGGTCGGATGCTGGAAGAACACCTATAGAAGATAAAATATGGCGTACATTTAGGAATTATCTTTACAGGCACCCTACAATTCATTTAATACGGTTGAACACTTTTTGGCCCAGCCTGTTCTAATCGTAAGCCAGGCTTCAGTATAAAACAGCATCCACACGGAAGCTTGTTAACATTGACTACTTCGGCACGCATGTAGATAATTAACTAATATAACATTCGAGAACGAACATATTTTTGTAGAAAAATGTACGTCAGGCAATGCCACGTACTTCTTTCATTCATTCGCTGCCCTCCATCTTTTTCACCCAGCTCCTCAGACAGACCCGCAGCATTTCCAGTTTTCCCTCTCTCTCGACTTTCTTCTTGGCTTCTTCGAAACAACCTGGTCGTCTGCCGAGGAGACGCAAACGCCTACATCGCCATTCTTCTGCATCACGGGGCTCTTAATCGCTTGACACCGACTCACACCATCACGGATACAGGTCTAACGGAGAAGAATGAAGGGGCTCTATATTGTTTTGCACAATAGGGCTTTTCTTCTCTCATCCCCAAATCTATCTTTATGTCTTTCGGAAACCTTATTGCGATGAGCACGTTTTCTTGTAGTGGGCTGTGCTCAGTCATCCAGTCTCGTTGGCTCTACTGTTTCTGAGCTTACTTCCATTTCGAGTGAAAGTGTTTGGCGAGGACATTCGAAAGTCGATTCCACCAGAAGACGACGGCGTATTCCTCTTTACCAGCTGTCGATTGGCTTTACTGGAACCTTCATGCTGACGTTGTATCCGACGTAATCTCCTTCGATTCCGGTGAAAAGGTGCTAAGCTTTCGTCCGTCATATGACGAACATCATCAGGACAAGGTATCATCGTCACAACCAAATTCAAGCTAACGAGTCAAGAAAACTTAAATTTGGCTGTGACGATGATACCTTGCTCGGGTGATGTTCGTCATATGACGGACGAAATCTTAGCATCTTTTCATCCGAATCGAAGGAGATTACGTCGGATACAACGTCAGCATGAATGTTACAGTCAAGCCAATCAACAGCTGGTCAAGGGGAATCTGCCGTAATCTTTCGGTGGAATCGACCTTCGAATTTCTTCGCCAAAAACTTTCATTTGAAATGGAAGCTTAACAATTATGAAACAAGAGATTCCCCGACACCCAACTTTTCTTCGCGTCTATTGTTTCTGTTT